ATTAGCACAATTAAATGTTCTGGGATTCCCATTCTTCTCAGAGTCAGCAGAACTTGGAATTGTTCAGTTTGACTTCGGTGGCTCCCATGGCTGGCTGGCATCTTCCATAATTAACTTTTGATGATTTCAAATAGTTCCTTCCACCATTAGCCTTGCTAAAGACTTTTCCCCACTTGAGCCTTGTTTTCTTCTATTGCTCTATCTGCTATCTATTATCTCAGCTCGGAATTTTAATTGGTGCTCCTATGCATGAGGGACAGCGCAAGAGAGGAAGACCCTCAATGAGACGGATCGATTCAGTGGTTGGGGTAATGGGAGTAGGTGTGTTGGAGACAGTGAGGTTGGCACAGGATAGAGCAGGGCTTGCAGCTCTTGTTTATAGGGTCGCTATGAGTTGTAAGTGACTCAATGGCACATAACAACAGCATGCATGAGGACACATAAACTATACCAAATACGTTGTATTATCTTCTCTCGACAGAACATTCTGGACTCAATCAGTGATGGACAGAGCAAGCTTGATGCGGTGACTCAAGAAGGACAAACTTTGTATGCACATTTGCCTAAACAACTTGTGAGCAGCATTCAGGAGCATGTGACCAAGGCGAATGAAGAGTTTCAGGCATTTCTAAAGCAATGCCTCAAAGACAAACAGGCCCTTCAAGACTGCGCTTTAGAACTTGGGAGGTAGGCGGTGTAGATAAATGTAGAAGTATCATACACAGGAAATCTATTCAAAGACTTTGAGATAAGAATTGCCATGACAAAGCAAACAATATTTAAGGCAGAATTAAAATATAATTAGCTTTGATCTTAAGTATAAGTTCTAAGTAGGACGTAATCTGTTTCTCAGATCTGGAATTATGAATTGTTTTTATTTTCACAGAAAGAAAAAAAAGAAATTGTATTTTCTAGTGCTTGAAAACACCATATATAAATGGATGTATTCTTGGTCTCTGTTTAACTCAGTCTACCCCAGTCATCAGTTTACCCAAGCCTTGTCCTTGTGTCCACTATTGCTGGCATGGAGTTGTGGTACAAATACCTACTGAATTCCTGTGGGTCAAGATTTCAGCCAGTAGAATGTAGCAATGGGGTTGAATTTAATAGTAAAAGAAAAAATAATCTCATCACTAGGGAGTCAGGGAGGCTTATGCACAGCCAGAGTTCCTTTTCAATAACAGAATCATTGGCCTGATTCTTAACTAATTTTCTGGAGAAGTTGAATTCTTTTCAAGCCTCTAGTTCTTCAGCTTCCCTTCCCCCCCCCCCCCCCCGTGTTTCCATTTCTCCACTTAATCACTGGCTCCAACCCAAAAGGTCCTGGCGGTACACTAAGCAGTGCACGTTGACATATGAATGCAATCTTACTGGTAATTGCGAGCCGGGGTTACCCCCAAGTCAATTGAGCAAAATGAGGAACTGGTAATTGTTCATTTTGAAAGAAATTACCATGATGCATCTGTAAATTACTGATATGAGAGATCATTTGAATAGGTTGCAGCTATTTTCTTCTGGACCTTGGAATTTTATGAGATTATAACACCCTTATAAAAGTGACTTCGACTGCTCCCATCATTTACCAAGTGTCTTTATTTTCTTTAGCTTTGAGGATCAGCACAGAAAACTAAACTTATGGATCCATGAGATGGAAGAAAAGTTTAGTACAGAAAACCTGGGTGAGAGTAAACAGCACATTCCTGAGAAGAAAAATGAAGTCCATAAAGTTGAAATGTTTTTGGGAGAACTATTGGCCGCAAGGTATGGCGTAGAAATAGTGTAGTTCCTTCTTCTCTGCCTCTATTTTGCCCGAGTGTTGTGGGTTTGGGTTGTTGTTGGTTGGTTTGTTTGTTTTGTTTTGTTTTTTTTTAAATTATTATTATTGATTTATTTACGAAGTGTAAATACATTGTTTTTCACACCAAGTCTTTCTCATTTCCATCACACACACCCACCTCCCACCCATCCATCCGTCCATCCATTCGAATGGCTTATTGACTTAGTTGTTGGTTGCTTGGTCAGTGGTGGTGGTATATTCCTGCTGCTGAATGTCTAGAATCCATGATGGTGCTATGTTCCCTATGGTCGTGTATTATTTGGAGAAAGCACAGAGATGAAAGTAAGACCTTCATCTGTTTCACAGTTCCACCTCCTTTTGCTCAACATAACCTGTGGGACATTCATCTCTTCTATTTTATTATTTTCCTCTCAAGGTTTCTTTGAGGATCAGTTAAGATAATATGACTCTGATAAGAAGAGTTTGTTGTTGTTAGCTGCCAATGAGTTGTCCCCTGACTCATGGAGACACCATCTGCAAGGATTTGAACCATCTTGATCGGATTTTCATTGGCTAGTATTTTGGATGTAGATTGTCAGCCATTTGTTCCTCCGCTATCAAACAAAAGCTCCACAGAAGCTTTTTCAACATGATTAGTGACACATCAGTTTCCACTATAAATGAATGGTGGCTGAGCTTCAGGGTATACTGCCTGGAAATCGCATCTGAGTTTCCTACACTGAAGGGGAGAATTCAGCCAGTGAACTGTCAGAGCCTCATACGAAGAGTTGCTGTTAGGCGTTGTTGGTCAACTACAACTCATACTGACCTCATGAGCAACAGATTTGAACCTTATTCTATCCTGCATTCTTCTCAGTCTCCATCATATGAAGTCCATGATTGCAGCCACTGTGTCAATCCTTTTCATTGGGGGTCTTCCTCTCTTTGGTTGACTTTCTACTTTTCCCAGCATGATGTCTTTTCCCAAGGACTGGTGCCTCTTGACAACATGCCCAGATTACATGAGTGGAAGTTCCTCTATCGTTTCCTCTAAGGAGCACATTTGATACACTTCCTGCAAGACAAATTTGTTTCTTTCATTTGACAGTTCTTCCTTCTTATCTGTTGCTCAACTTTGACTCCTCATTGTGAAGAGTTGTTGTTGTACCTTGTTGTCGAGTCAGAATCAACTCATAGCTGAACTTCTAGCAGGTTTTCAGAGACTGTAATTGCACAGCTTTCTACCATAGACAAGCTAGTGAATTTAAACCTTGGGTCTTTGGGTTGGCAGCCCAACTCCTTGCCACGAAGCCACCAGAGTTCCCTAAAGTGCCTCTTGTTGTTGAGTATCTTCAAGTCGGAATTTACCCATATCTGACCTTCCAGCGATTTTCAGAGACAGTTAATTGCATGGGAGATTGCCCACCATTCTCTTACAGAGCAACTGGCAGATTCAAACCATGTGCTTTTGGGATTGCAGTGCAGGTTCTTACCACTAGGACACCCGAGTTCCCTGGTGCCTCTAGACGGGCATAAATTCACAGTAATTGTAAAGATACTTTGACTTTATAAAGATAACTGTAGACTTCAATTTCTGGATTTCCTTATCTATTTCAGTTTCCACCTCTCTTTACAACCCAACTCATGCCAATAATATTCCTAGTAACCCAAAATGTGTGGACATTAAGTGTGGTGGTCTTTGCAATTTCTCATCTTCAGTAAAGTACTTATTTTCTCATTGCTTCCATACAGAGGAAACATATCCCTCTTTCCCCACTTCTTTTCCTGTGCTTCTGGTTCCTGCAACTTCAGGGCTTTGCTCCCTAAATGCATATACCTCCCAACCCTGGGCTTTTTTGCCTTCTTAGGAGATAAATACATTCCATCTTGGAAGTAAAACTTGACCAAAAGTTAAGTTTCTGAATGTTCTTCTAAAGGTGAGGAAACATGGATCCATGGCATTGATTGTATGAAAGACAATATGAATGAGAAATAGTGTGAAATACAATGTATACGAATTTTGTAAGCAAACCCATTTTTAAAAAAGGTTAAAAAAAAGAGGTTTATACCAACCCTGAGGGGTGAGACAACCCAGCAAACATGACCAACTATGTGGAAAAAAATGGGCGTAAATCAGATCACACTCATTATGTAATTTTTAAAGAAAATTATTATTATTGTCAAACAGGCGCAGTATACCTTGTCTTTTTTTTTTTTAATATAGATATAAAAATTTATTTAGTGAAGGTTAGCTTCCATTCAACATGTCCCAGATTCTTGATTTACATTATGTTTGGCTCCTTCACATGTTTGCATTTTTTTAATTCCTACATTTTTGTTTGACCTTCAATAGATGAATATTTTTTTAAATGCATTCATTCCTTGTGCACATTTTCTTCCCTACCCCAGGCCACATTGCAGTGTACCCCTTGTTCCAGATTGTTTTATATTATAAGTATGCATGCCTAATGATATATTCCTTCTGAAGAGGTCCTCCCCTCATCTGCTCCAGTGCCGTGTTTGTATCTATCCACTCTTCCTATTGAGCTCGAAATTCCCCTGGTCAGTCCTATTTTATAACAACTGTGTTATGCAGTATTTGTTCTTTTGAGAATGAGATATTTCACTCAGCATAATGTCTTCAAAGCTCTTCCATGTCGTGTAATATTTTATGAGGTCATTGTTTTTAAAGCCGCATAATATTCCATTGTGTGAATATACCATAGTTTCTCTATCCATTTGTTTGTTGATGAGCATTTGGGTTGCTGCCACCTCTTTGCTATTGTGAATAGTGCAACAATAAACATAGATGTGTATATATCTGTTTGAGTCACAGGTCTGGGTATTTTGTGGTGATTGTTCATTCATGTTTCACCCGTTTCCTTGTTTTAGAAGGCGTACACACACAAAAGGAAGAAAGAAATAGAACCCATACAAACAACTTTGTGTAGTGGTTTAATATCTCTTTCTGCAAGATTTCCTTGAAAGCTTTCAGCTCAATCTTTGCATGCCCTCACCCTGGATAAATTCTATAAGTCACACCCCAAAACTGGGACTTCCTCTTGCCCCCACTTCATTTCAGAAGAATAGAAAGTATTTATTGAATTAACAGCAGCAAGATATCACATTCTAATTATATGCTGTTTGAAAACCACAGTGAACCTTATTTAACTTTTTAAAACCTTGACCTTTGATCAGACACAATAATACGGTGACAGATATAATATTCTAGGACCAGACTCTGCTTCACGTTATAAATGGCTGTTGTGTTGCTGCTTTTGTTCCTTTTACAGATGTTGGCCTTTGTCTCCTCCCTTTGGTTTGTTTCCCCTGCTGTTGGAAAACCAAGATTTCCTTCCCCAAAATAGCCCATTTTCTGTTTTCTCAAATCTACCATCTTTCTTTAGTTCTCATTGTTTTGCTTTGGTTTTTTCTAGTCATTGCAACCTTTTGCCCTTGATACTCTTGCCTCTATATTAAAACCTTGCTCTCTGATCTTTTCTGATCAGATGCTAAGAAACCTTAGGTGCATTCAACCCCCCTCCAAGCTAACTGCTTTTCTTCCATGCCGAAAGCACTGGCTAGGTCTCCCAGATTCCCCAGGGGTCACCTGACTGTTTCTACTCACCTGTCGTAAAATGAATGTCACCCTAAAGTGAGTTGCACACCTCTTTTAGTTGCACCAATGTGTGTTTACACTGTCACGAAGTCTATGAATTGCTAACTGAAGGTGAGGATTCACACTCACCAGGCTATAATGTTTGATAACTGGAAACTCAGTGGAGGTCATGACGAGTCAGAACCAACTCGACCGTAGAGGTTTTGTTTCTTCATAGTCTATTTCAGTGTGGAGCAGGGAGCCCTGGTCATGAGACTTGTGTGGAGTCATACAGCTAACCCAAAGGCAAACAATTTGAATTAATTAGCAGCTCTGAGGAGAAAGATGGACACTCTGATCCCGTGTGATTTACAGCTTCAAAAAGCCACTGGAGGATCATGGCAGAGAGAGATTAAAGAAACAATAATTATGGGGAAAGGTTTAACTATTGTGAATATTACCAAAAGGTGACACACAGACACCGAGTAAGCATGTGCTGTTGGAATAATGGTGCCTGTTGTTGTTACTGTGTCACTGAGTCCAAAGTGGCCCATAGCTGACACTCCAGCAGGTTTTCTGAGGCAGTAAATCACAGAGTTAGTTGCTCATCTTTCTCCTGAAGAGCAGCTGGTGGATTCAAACTGTGTGCCTTTGAATTGGTGGCGCAGCTCTTTACCATTAGGCCACCAGAGCTCCCTAAAGATGCCCATAGACTTTTGAAGGCATTATTGCCTCAAACCTTCAATGTTTAAAAAAACAGCATCTGGAAAGCCTAGTCAAATGCAATAAAATAAGGAATGCAATGAAACAAGGTCTGTTTATTCTTGTTTACTTCACCCCCTTAGCAGAAACTCCAGTAAGCAATAACTTTCCTCCTTCCCTCCTCTAACCCCTGGTAACCGTAAACAGATTGTTGCCTCTACCTTCGTCCGTATGTTAAAGAGATAACCAGCCTTGTGCTCTTGTCTGCTGACTGTTCCAATAGCAGCTGTCATTGCTCAGAATGTCTGTGCACACCCAGTTGTTGGATTATACGGATTTCTGTTTTCTTTAGAGAGTCCCTCGATAAGCTGTCTCAGAGAGGGCAGCTGCTCAGTGAGGAAGGCCACGGAGCCGGGAAGGAAGGCCGGCTGTGCTCCCAGCTCCTCACCACTTACCAGAATTTGCTCAGAAGGACCAAGGAGACGCTCCGGAGCTGTCAGGTGGCCCTTCAGGAGCACGAAGCCCTGGAACAAGCTCTCCAAAACATGTGGTCATGGGGGAAAGGTGTCCAAGACAGGCTTGTCTCTGCAGAAAGCACGGTTGGAAGCAAAGATATGCTGGAAAAACGACTGCTACAAATACAGGTAGGTAGATGTCACACCAGTCAGATGTTGCATAACTCCAAGCATTGCTGGAGTGTGTTACATATTGAACTGCTAAGGAAAAGATCAGTGGTTTGAATCCATCAGAAAATCCATGGAGGAAAGATGGGCAATATCCTCCCATAAGGATTTACAGCCTCAGAAAGCCCATGGAGGGTCACTGTGAGAGAATGGATCTGACAGGATTTGTTTGGTTTCAGCCTGTGAAAGAGGTGAAAAGCTTTAGTGGCACAGTGGTTAAGCACTGAGACCCATCAGGCAGTCTATAGGAAAGAGAAATTATCAGTCTGCTTTCAGAAAGAGTCTCAATGCCATCAAGTTATCATAGCTGACCCTCCAGCTGGTTTTCAGGGGCTGTAAATTACACTGGATATTGCTCATCTTTCTCCCTCAAGGCAGCTGTTGGTTTCAAACCAAGTCTCTTTGGGTTAGCTGTGTAACTGCTTACCACTAGGCCACCAGAGAGCCCAAAGATGACCACCTTCAAAAGTCTATGAGGTGGTTCTACCTTTATCCTTTAGTGTTGGTTGCCTTGAAATCAAGTCAGTAGCATTGACTGTTATGTGTGGAAGCAGGTGAAGAATGTTTCTACTTGGTGTCAAGGTAATAGATTGCTATTCATTTTCTTCCATACCCTCTGACTCTTCTAGATATTCTGCATGGAGGATGTATATGTTTACAGTTAAGAAAAGACACTAGGAAAACAGTATCTTCAAACATCTGTTACCTGTTTATTTGGATATTCATTTTTCTTTCCTAGGAAATTCTCCTGATGAAAGGTGAAGGCGAAGTTAAGCTGAACATGGCGATTGGTAAAGGGGAGCAGGCCTTGAAAAGCAGCAACAAAGATGGTCAGAAGGCAATTCAGACTCGGCTGCAGGCCCTTAACGACATGTGGGCTAACATCATGAGCTCCTCTGTCCATGCTCAGAGGTATGCAGCCAACTGCTGGTGTTTATTTACCCCTGTGAGACCCTGAGGCTTCGGAAAATGGTGGAGCTGTGCTGTGTAAACCCTGTAGTGATCACCAAGCATATTATTCTAACTAGTTACAGACATTCCTGCCTTTCCTAATACTATTTTCCATAAAAGCAAAGACTAATTATATTTACCAAACAGTCTTCTAAGTGGTAGAAGAATTTGCTGTACAGAGGTAACTCATGGTTGCTGTGAAGCTGAACACTGTGGCACTGATGTGTCAAATGGGATAATGGTTACCCATGGTAGACAGTGTTTGGTGGAGCTCCCCGATTAAAACAAGCTTGGAAGTAGGGGTGGCATGCACTTCCATAAATAGCTTGCCTTCTGAATGAAGCCCTATGAACTTGGAGAAAAGATGAAATTTATACAAATGTTCAGGGTTTTTTTTCCATAGGGTTGCTAAGAGTTGTCTATGATTTGATGGCACTTAACAACAATAGTTACATTTATTGTTGTTAATTTTTAATATGTCCTGTCTGCCCCCATAATACATTTCACAAAAATCTTACAATCATATTGATACAGTGAAAGACTTCATTTCAAATTATCAAAGCACATATTTATCTTTAATAACTTTCAAACCTTTTGGCATTTGGGGAATGTACAGGAAATTAAGTTGTTGACAACTACTGAGAGAGTAAGCATACATTTTTTTTCCCCTCAATCAAACATAGTGCCACCCCCACTAAGGCTTTTAGAAATATGTGGGGCATTTTTACTTGACACCGTGATGGAGTATCTCTTGCATGTTTAGGGCCTGAGGCCAAGGCATTGTTTTTCTGCAAGGGGAAACGTCCTCACTTGGCATCTGGTTGGCCCAGGATGCCTAAAGATCCATTCATTAGTAAGAAGTCTCATCTTTGACACCAGATGCTGATGAGCAAATTGAGAAGATATCAACTGCCCTACTAGGAAGTTGTTGTTGCATTTATGAGTGAAAGCTCTTTCACTTCCTCTTTGTTGGGAGAATAAAGCTTATTGAAACAGTGATTGATCTTCAGTTAGCATAATAACAACATACCTCCCATGAGCCATATTCTGAAGATTATACTGTTAGACTTCTGAGCAAATGAGTGACTAACGTGGCCATGATAAAGGCATGAGTACAAAATTAAAGTTCAATAGGAAACAAAACCCAACAGAAGCCACTGCAGTTACTCTCTGCAATGGAAAAAAAAAATAATAATCATGAGACAGCAAAAATCTCAGAAGTTTTATTTCCTTCCTTTGGAGCCTAGCCAGTGACTCCCAAATCAGCAGGCCTTCAGAACTTAGTAATAAGTCACGATGGTCTTGGACCGAAAAAGCAATTAGATTCTATAGTTCTTGTCATCTGTTGTATAGACAGCAGAACATAAACTGAATTCCCCGATGCTATGCAATATGCCAACTGAAGAAAAATGAGTGGGAATGTGGCTGAATACTTCAAAGATGTCAAAATTTCAAACTCATTTTCATCATGTTGGAACTGACTGACAGCTGATCCTCCAGTAGATTTTTTGAGACTGTAAATTAATAAGAAGAGCTTGATTGCCCAACTTTCTCCCCTGGAGTCACTGGTGGATTTGAATCCCCAAAGAGGAGCTACTTTGGGTTTAGCATCACAGTTCTCTGCAGACCAAGCCCCCAGACGTCCCCAGATGTTAAAATAGAACATTAAATACAAGAACGGGTGTAGATTGCGACTCTCCTCTTTCAGTGAGAAAAATAGAGTAGGTCTTTGTCTGTTAAGCAGCAGCAATTCCAAATACTTAGGTGAAAATAATGAAACAAGACAAATTAATTTTAAAATCTCAAATGGTAGAGTAGCATAAATTCTTTAACGTAAATTCTTTTAAAAAGCCAAACTCAAATTGTATTAAAAAGAACATTTTTAAAAATTTCTTTATTTTTCATTTCAATGAAATTTTGGAATTCCATTCATTCATTGTTGCACCCCTCTCCCCGCGCGCCCACCCCTCCCCACCCCACCCCCGTTTGCTCCGCTCCTTCAAACGCAAAAGAAAAACTCCCTCATTGGTATGCAGTCCCCCACATTTTAAAGTGAAATGGGGGGGGGGGAAGTGAAATAGGATCCATACCTCACACTATTTTCAAAAGCCAACTCAATGTGGGTCAAAGACCTAAATGTTAAATCTGAAACTATAATTCACATGGAAGTAACATAAGGGAAAAGCATATGATTTTAATATATGGGATAAATAAGCTATCAAACACACTTTAAAATAAAACTAAAATAAATTAGATAGCTAGTTGTTGTTTTGGTATATTGTCAAAATGATACCAATCCATAATGGATTCATTCTGACTCCAGAAGATTTTCAGAGGCAGTAAATTACACGAGAGGACATAGTGCATCTTTTTTCCATGGAGTAGCTGGTAGATTTGAAATGCATGTCTTTGGGATGGCAGCACACCTTCATACCACTAGATAACTAAAATAATCTAAAGTTTAAATATGTATCCTCATCAAAATACTTAATCAAAAGAATAAAAAGGGGGGCTTCCGGCTTGGGGGGGAAAATCTTTGGCAATAACATATCTGACAAAAGTCTCATCTCTTAAGTATATAGAAAATGTCAACACTTCAACAACAAAAAAGCAAACCACACAATCTGAAAGTGGACCAAGAACATGAACAGCTACCTAACCAAATAAGACACTTTGGTGACTAACAAACACATGAAGAGATACTCATGATCTTCCACTGTTGACTAAAAAAAAAAAGATAATTGTAGTCAGAAACATCTCCAAATTCTTGAGAAGCAATAATAGCAATTTAACAACTGAAGTGTACCTGATTAAGGTCATGGTCCTTTTGGTCACTTTCTGGGCATCTAAAAGTTGGGCAATGGATAAGGATGACAGAAAAACAATGCCTTTGAGCTGTGGTGCTGGAGAAAAGTACTGAACATCCCATTTACGACTCAAAAAAGCAAACAGATATGTCTTGAAACAAGGGCAGCTAGTGTACTTCTTGGAGGTGAAGATCATAAAGCTTCTTCTCACCTACTAAGGACATGTTTTAAGGAAAGGCTATTCCTTGAAGAAGGACATCATGCTGGGAAAGGTGAAGAGACTGCGAAGGAGAAAACCCTCAACCAGATGGATTGACCCAGTGACTGCATCAGCGGGCTTAAGTGTATCAGAGATGGTGAGGATGGCACAAGGGAGGACACAGTTCAGACTTGTTCATAAGGTAGTTGTGAGTCATATTCAACTTGCGTAATTAGAACACCTAACAACAATGATCTTGAGAAGAATGAGACCCTTGATTGTGCTCATGCCAACTCATACCTGCATCCATGATCTCTTGTTCAAACAAAATAAGGGAACACTTGTGGTTCAAAATCAAGAGAAGAGTGCATCAGGGATGTATCCTTTACCCATATCTTTTCAATCCACATGGTGAACTTTGGGAGGTTGGATTTTATGACGAAGAATATGGCATCAGCATTGGAGGAAGACTCCTCAACAAACACATTATGCAGAGGACACAACTTTGCTCACCAAAACTGGGGAGGACTTGACACCTTTGCTGCAGAAGGTCAAGGACTACAACCTTCAACATGAATTGCATCTCAACATCATGAAAACAAAGATCCTCATCCCTGGGGCAATTGGCAGCATCATAATAGATGGAGAAAAGATTGAAGTTGTTAGCAATTTCATCTTGCTTGGATCCACAATCAACAATCTTGGCACCAGCAGTCAGGAAATCAAAAGATGAGTTACTTGGGGAAAACCTGCTGTCAAGGATCTCTCTAGAGTGCTAAAGAACAATATCACCTAAGATATTGAGACTAAGATGCAGCTGTTTCAGGCCATGGTCTTCTCAATTACTATGCATCTAAAAGCTGGACAGTGAATAAGTGTGACAGAAAAAGAATCACCTTTGAGCTGTAGTGCTGGAGAAAAGTACTAAACATACTCTTGGTGGACTTCCAAGAGAACAAAATAGGTCTGCCCTGGAGTGGGTGAAGCAGATTTCTCCTTGGAGGCAAGGATTTCGGAACTGCTTCACATACTTTGGACATGTTTTCAGGAGGTACCAATCATTGTGGAAGGGTGGAGGGTTATCACAGGAGAGGAAGACCCTGGATGAGACAGATTGATACAGTGACTTTGACAGTGAGGTCAGGTGTGTCTGAAACAGTGAGGTTGGTCCAGAATAGGGGAGGGTTCAGAGCCATTGTTTCTAGGGTTAGTTGACTTGAAAGAACCTAACAACAATAATAGAACACACAGGTGTACAATTATAGAAAGTTTTAGATATGCTCTAATATCTTGTGAGTTACATGGCTTGAGGTTAGGGTAGGACTTTAAAGTGCGTATGTGATGACGTTCCAATTGTTGCAAAAGACCAGATGAAGAAAAAGTCTCACATACTTTCATTGTGAGTTTAAGTCCAAGGTCATAGTTTTATATGCAAGAGAGAAGAGAAGCTGGGAGACATCACAGGAGATGAGTTTAAGAGAGTTTGAAAAACTGAATACCCTATGCTATTGGGTAGCTTCTAACTAATGACAGCCCTCTGTCAGTTGTCCAAGTCTATAAATGTTTTGTCAAGAGACTGCTTCACTTTCTCCCTTGGAACAGCTGGTGGAATCTAACTAGTGATCTGACTCAAGTCCAACATATACTATCCTATGCCACCAGAAATAAATAGTACCGTGTGTGTCTGTATGTGTGTTTGTTCAAATGCCAGTCTGCACAATCACTGTCTTGACTATGTAGAGTGCTGTGGTGGCTGGATTCCTTGTGTTATAAATACAGTGAGCCCCATTCATTTCCTCATTTCACATTCAACCCAGGAACATTCAATACTATGCATGTCTTTTCCGAAATGAACAACCAGTCTAGAGATACTATTTGATCAGAAGCAATGTCTTCACTTTTTAATTCTAGTCAACAAGTAATTATCATGTGAGCTTAATAAAATAAACTGAGCCCCCAAAAATCAATAACTGAAATATACTGAATACAATTTAGCTGATATGCCTGAGTGTCTCTCAATGGTATAATCTATAAAAATTTGTTCATGTAGGACAACTAATACTTGATGTTGTTGTTAAGTGCTGTCGAGTCATAGATGACTCATAGTGACCCTGTGAACAAAAGATCTAAACACTTGTATAACTGTCATTGTTTCTCCAAGTTTATAGAGTTTGCAGAGGCAAGCCATTTCGAAAGTGGATGCCACTACTGCTTCCAAGCTTATTTTAATCAGCGAGCACCACAAAACACTCTCCACCATGGGTAATCATTATTGCATTTGACGCATCAGTGTTACAGTGTTCAACATCACAGCAACCACGAGTTACCTCTGTGCAGCAAATGGACAGACTAGTGCTGCACCGCTTAGAAGAATGTTTGACCAAAAACAATTAAAATCAGGCCAGAGGACCCAAATGCCTTTTTAAATAGGAGGCAGGATACAATCAATTCACTCCCAATGGCTGATAAGCATTGTCCTTTATGTCTTCCTGAACACAAGATCAAACTTCTATAGAACCAGGCTGCTCCAGACCCCTGCCCAACCATGGAAGATATATTTTTCAAATGCATAGACAACTCCAGCGTCTCACTTAATAGCATGACATAGGTTACTTCTCTGCAGAGGAAGTGCATTATGTGTCTGAGGATTAGTGTTTTTCCTCACACTTAAAAGCCTCATTTTTGTCACTTACAGTAACATTCAGCAAAACAGCTTGCATGGACGTGATGTCTTAATAATTGGATTTCAGCTGAGATGGGAAGATACCTCACTTGTCTAATCTGTGACATTACTTCTAGCACTTTAGAGTCCGTGATTAGCCAGTGGAATGAGTATCTGGAGAGGAAAAACCAGTTGGAGCAGTGGATGGAATCGGTGGATCAAAGAGTCGAGCACCCTTTGCAGCCGCAGCCGGGTCTGAAGGAGAAGTTCGCGCTGCTGGACCACTTCCAGTCCATGGTGTCTGAGGGGGAAGACCATGCCGTGGCCCTGGAGCACCTCGCTGCCCAAGCCAGGGAGCTCTATGAAAGGACAGAAGATGTGGCGTTCATGGAGGCTGCTCAGCTGGAACTGAGAACGCAGTTTAATGATATAATAACTGTTGCGAAGGTTAGTGCTTTATGTTGAAGGTAAAGCTTCAGGGTTCTTTTCGTGGATGGACTGTAGGTTCAGGGAGTGAGAGAATTGGTCACTGTAAAGGTATGAACACATTATATGAGCAGATACACAGAAAGATCATCTTCTGTCTTTGAGGGCACCAGTGTTTGACCCTTTCTGTTTTCTTGGAATGATGCTTTGCATTTTATATTTTATCTCTCTCTCCTCCCTTTGGATGTTAGTCCATCCTTGTACTTTTCTTGGTCAGATGGATAATTGAATGCCGGTGTTTAAAGTTTTTTTTCTTTTACTGTTAGTAATGTTGCTAGGGTTATGTGCCATTGAGTTGGATCTGACTCCTAGCTGACACTCCAGCAGGTTTTCAGAGGCAGGAAGTCTTTCTCCTGTCGAAGAGCTGGTGGATTCAAACAGAGTGCCTTAAGATTGATAGAACGGGGTGGGGGTGGAGGAGGATAGGGAGAAAAGTGCAGCAAGGAGTGACTGGAAACTAAGTCTCTGTAAACGTTCATTGACATTAATAAGAAAAAATGTTAAAAAAAATTGATAGAAGAATTTCTTACCCACTAGACCACTACAACTCCAGGTATAGCATTGCCTTATTAAATGTAAATCTACTTACTATGCAGATTTAGTCATGTGTACCCAGTACTGGACAAATTTCTCAACAGAAAAAAACCCTGCACTTTCCTCATCTTCAAGATAGAGATCCTTGGTTTTGTTGATGTCTGAACTGTTCTTAGCGAGCTCTGGTAGCCTAGTGGCAAGGAGTTGTGCAGCCAACTGACAGGCATACACGAGGTTCGAATCTACCAGTTACTCTGCAGGAGAGAGATGGGCAGTTTTCTCCTGTGTGATTTACAACCTCTGAAAACTTGCTGGAGAGTCAGCTATGAGTTGGTTCTACTCGATGGTACATAACAACAACAGTCGGCCCCTAACTCCTGGTGACACCATGTCACAACTGAAGGAAATGTTACTTGCTCCCACACCACTTGCAAGATACGCATCTTTGCAAATGAGACCAAAATACTCCATCTGCTGTCACGGTTTCTCCTGCTACTCTAGCTAAATCTTTACTTTTCTCCAAGATTTTTTTGGGGGGTATGTATTTGGCAGTTTTAAAGCCCTGTGGCCTAGTGGTAAGAAGCTATCCTGCCATACTACAGTTTGAATTCACCACCTGTCACATGAGAGATGATGGACAATCTCCTCCTGTGTGATTTACTGCCTCTGAAAACCTGCTGGATGGTCTGCTATGAATTGTTTCTGACTAAATGGTGCAGAACAACAACAACAACTACTACTACTTTTTTATTTCCATTCTGCCCTTGCTGTCCCTTTGTCTGGCCTTTCACACTCTTTTGTGTTAATTTTTTTTAATTTTAATAAAAGTTTACAGAGACTTAGGGTTTCCAGTCATTCTTTTGTGTTAATTTATACAGCAATTATTCACAGCAATAGTTTTTATCTTTGTTTTCGTTGTGGTACTCAGGGACTGAAACTCCAGAATCAAGAAGAACAAAGTGCAAGTTCTAGATCTGATGCTTTGTTGCTTGCTGTGTCACTTTGTGCAGACCCCTGTGAGGTTAAGAGTCATTTCTTGTAAAATGATACAATCCTGACAGCCTGTTGTGAAGATTAAATCATCAAATGTGTTTGGAGTGCTGAGCAGAATGCCATATACCAAGTCAACACAAGAAATTGCTTTAATGATAATAGCGCTTATGATAATTAGTATTAAATGGCTAACTAGTGTGAGATGTTAGGCAACATTTACTAAGCATAAATTTTAATCTAAACAAGGCAGTGGAAACCTACGGGATGAATGGTTGTTTGCTCCAACTCCTTCAGTCCAACAAAGGGCTGGGAATTCTTTTTGTTGCAAAATTTTAAATACATTAAAAAAGAATCAGAATGAAATCTTCTGAGATGCCTTAGGAGAGTTGTATCATGCCCTCTGGTCTGATTTAATTTTCTCAACCACAGACGTGTTTTAAAGGACTCTTTCTTGGTTTACTAGGAAAAAATGAGGAACGTGGAAGAGATTGTGAAAGACCATCTCGTGTACTTGGACGCCGTCCAGGAGTTTACAGATTGGCTCCACTCGGCCAAGGAAGAGCTTCATCGGTGGTTGGATATGTCGGGAGACTCATCAGCCACCCAGAAGAAGCTATCTAAAATAAAGGTAGAAAACTGCAGATGTCATAGCGATGGTTTCATTGATCCTCAAACGTCACATTCCTGGGGTGGGGGAAAGATTCTGCAGATAAAAGTCTGTTATGTAAACTGACTGCTTTCTGTTCTCTATTGGCTGATGTTTACTATTTCACACCTAATTCCAAGTTTAAGTGTGATTTGAAAAGGAATTGGAAACATATTGCATTTGAACACAAAGTGAAGTCTTGTCCTTGAATGCTTCTGTATGTTGTTATTGTCAATGAGTGCTGACTAGGCAATTTTGACTCCTGGTGACCATATGTGACAGCACAGGGTCACCTGTACTCTTAATGGAAGAAGATAAGCCTTTCTTTTGCAGAGCCCTTGGGCAAGTCCGAACCCTCAACCTTTCTGCTGCTACTTAACCATGACACCACTAAGAATCTAGTGTACATAGATCCTCTTGTTATTTTGACAGGAAAGACTAAGAAGTATACTCTAGCTAAATGGACTGTAAGAACCAGATGGTACTTCCTAGCACAGTGGGGGAAGAAGTTGATGAAGGAATTTCCTTATTAATGCATTAGAATGTTAACTTGGAATGTCATCCTGGATCTTCTATACTGTCTCCCTAAACAATAGTGCAACATATTAGAAGATAATACTTTAAAGACCATTGAAATATCACTTACTACCTGAAGCATTTGAGGCAGAAGGATAAAGACTGTAGTCTTCAATATGGATTGAAGCTGGACATCAAGAAGACAAAGTTTCTCACCACAGGGCCAACTGGCAGCACCGTAGTAGATGGAGAAGAGATTGACGTTGTTAACAATTAAAGTTTTCTCAGCTACAAAATCAACACTCTTGGCACAGGCAGTCAAGAAATCAAAAGCATTGCACTGGGGAAATCCACTGTCAAGGACATCTCCAAAGTGCCTAAGAATAATGGTGTCAGTCTAGAGACTAAGGTGCTCCTGATCCAGGCTATGGCCTTCACAATTACTTGCTGTGCATCAGAGAACTGGAGAGTGGCTAAGGATGAAAGAAGAATTGAGGTCTTTGAATTGTGATGCTAGAGAAGAGTATTGAACATACATGGACCACCAGGAGAACAAATACGTCTGTTTTAGAGAAGGTCAAACCAAGTTTCTAGGATTTTTAAGCCCCATCTCACATACTTTGGACATATTTCCAGAAGGCACCCGTCCTTGGAGAAGGACATCATGCTTGGAAGGAAGGAGAGACAACACGGGAGAGGAAGACCCTGATGAGATGGATTGATGTGGTAACTGGGGCAATGGGATTAGATGTGTTGGAATCAGTAAGGCCTGCTCAGGATAGAGCAACGTTCAGAGCTATTTGAGGTTTTTATTATTACTGTTGTTATTATTATTATTACTAAATTTTCATGAACATTTACAGAGATTTTGGATTTCCATTCATTCATTGTTGCACTTTTCTCCCTGCCCACCCCTCCCCTCCAATTCGCTCTTCTCTTTGAAATGTAAAAGAAAAATTCTTTCATTAGTGTACAATGCCCCCACCCCAAGTACACTCCACTATGCAACCTTCATTCTGGACTCTTGTGATAACCATAATACCCAATCATATATCGCTTTTAAACTGTTCTCTCCCTCATCTGTTTCAATGCAGTATACATTATTTATCCAGTTTTTCTCAGAGCTATTTGTACAGAGTTGATATGAGTCACAGGCAACTCAATGGCACATAACAACAACCACATTACTGTGATGATGAGAGAAATTTCAAAAATACACCATACCTTCTGAAGGAAGGGGTTAGCTTCATTATCTTAGCATTTTACTAAGTGGTCTGAATCTGAGAGCTGACGGTGGATAAAGATGACAGGAGAATTGATGCCTTTGAGTATGGTATGTTCAAGACTCTTCTCCAGCACCACAATTCAAAGGCATCTATTCTGTCATCCTTAGACATTGTCCAGTTCTCTGAAGCATAACAAGTAATTGAGAAGATGATGGCCTGGATTAGGCACACCTTTGTCTCTAGACCGACATCGTTGCTTTTCAGTACTCTGGAGAGGTCCACGACAGCAGATTTTCTGAATGCAATTCTTCTGATTTTCTGACTGCTGGTGTTAAGAGTGTTTATTGTGGAGCTGAGCAAGCTGTAATAGTTAACAACCTCAGTCTCTTCTCCATCTAATATGGTGCTGCCAATGGGCCCAGTGGTGAGAATCTTTATCTTCTTGATGTCTGGAATCTTGATGGTAAGGAATTGTGCTACCAATTTCATATCCACCAAGTGCTCCATAGGAGAAAGATGGACAATCTCCTCCCATGCAATTTGCTGCCTTTAAAACCCACCAGAGAGTCAGCTTTGTGTTCTGACTTGATGGTAGTCAACAAGAATCTCCTGGATTAGGGAGCTCTGGTGGCTTAGTTTGTAGAGAGTTGTTATGTTAATCCAAAGACTGCACTCCTCTGCAAGTTCAAATCCACCATCCACTTCATGGGAGAAAGATAAGTCATCTCCTTGCCTGAGATTTGTATTGCCATGGAAACCAAGTGGAGGGTCAGCTATTGGTAGGAACTGACAACATAGCAATGAGTGAGTGGCTGACCTCCTGTGTTGCTAAACGCTCTTGAATGCAGTATTTTTACAATGCTTTATCAAAGATCACAAACAAGAAAGAGCTAACAGAAAGAAATTGAAAGTTGAGACGGAGAAAGTCAAGCCTAATTAAAAGGCTGCCTTTTAGAAGTTCAAGTCAGATATGAATGTGGTTGGTTGTTTTTTGGGTGAGGAAATCTGTCCATGAAGAAACTTTGAACTTTCTCCATGCTTCCATGTCATTACTCACCCCAGGTGGAGGGACAGAGCAGGGGAGGAGGACCCTCGATGAGAGAGACTGACTCAGTGACTGGGGTAATCGGGATGGGTGTATCAGAGACAGTGAGATTGGCACAGACAGAATGGAGCAGGGTTTAGTTAGGGCTGTTGTACATAAGATTGCTATGAGTTGCAGGCAACTCAACAGCGCATAACAACAATATACTTAACATGAGTTCTCGTGGCCTAGTGGGAAGACACTGCCCTGCAATCCCAAAGGCGCAGTTTGAGGCCATCAGATGCTCTGTGGAGAAGGATAAGCAATCTCCTCTTATTAGATTAACTGCCTCTGAAAACCTGCCTGAAGGTCAGCTATGGGTCAGCTCCAACTCTGTGGTACACAAAAGCAACAACATGTTGTTGTTAATTCAAATTGAGTCACATAGACAACTCATAGCGACCCTATGAACAAAAGACCTGAACCCTGTTATATAATTATCATCATTTCTCTAAGTTAATTGAGTTTCCAGAGGCAAGTTATTTCAAAAGTGGATGCCACTCCTGCTTCCAAGCGTTTTAATCAGGGAGCTCCACCAAACACTGTCCACCATGAGAACCATTATCACGTTTGTTACATCAGTGTCACAGTGTTCAGCATCACAGCAACCACAAGTTAGTTCTGTACATCAAATTGGAAGACCAGTGCTATACTACTTAGAAGAATGACCAAAACTGATTCAAACCCGGGCCTGAGGGCCCAACTGCCCTTTTATATACAAGGCCAAATTTAGTTAGCTCACACCCAATTGTGAAAAAAACAAACAACAAGCAAATAGCCCACACCCAAGCCTCAACCAAAACAACAACATACTTAATTTATTAATCTCTTTTCATGCTTTATTATCTCTTAGTGTTTTATTGTTACTTTGCATGACTTTTTTTTTTTTTTACTTTTTGAAACTTTATCTTTTTGGTAATATTATTTCTATTTAATTCAAAAGTGAAACCCTAATTTAGGATAAATGCTAACAGAATCCTGACTTTAGTGATATCTGTAAACATGTCTTTATGCAAAGTACTATATTCAGTAACAGAATATTCCATTTTAAAAATCTTTTTTTTTTTGCTTTTAATTTTTTTTCTATATTTTATTAATTTTCATAAACATTTACAGAGATTTTGGGTTTCCATTCATTCATTGTTGCACTATTCTCTCTACCCTCCTCCCAGTTTGTTCTTGTCCAAATGCCACAGTGCTTGTCAAAGCCAGTTCTGATTAATCTTCTTTGTCAGTGTGTCCTTTGCCATTCCCTATCACTCCTTCCTGAGAGAGACTTCACCCTGAGTCATAAGGAAAAGGGGATGGCGTATTCTCTTAGCTACTTCCTGCTTAAAGAGAAATGTCACTCTTATACCTAAAAACCAAAGCACATCCCACTGTCATCAAGTAGATGCTGACTCATGGTGCCTCTCCATAGGATCCTGAAACTGTCCATTTTAAACTGTCCATTTAGGAGGAGACTGCCCACCAGGCTCTCAGAAAAGCTGGAGGATCAGAACTGTTGACCTTAAATTGGCAGCTGAGCCCATAATACATCATGCCACCAAAGCTCCTTACTATTACACTGACGTAACAATAATTAACTTTTGTATTATTTTCCTTTTTCATCTCTCTCTTTCATGGTCATTGAGTGGAAACCAATCCCTACCTGACCCTCTAGCAGGTTTCCAAAGGCTGTAAACTGCACTGGAGGAGAGTATCCGTTTTTCTTTTGTGGAGCAGCTGGTGCATTTAAAGCACTTGCCTTTGACTTGGCGGTGTGACTCCTTGTCCATTAGGCCACCAGAGCTCCCTTGTTTTTCTTTGTTGTTGTATACAGTCAAATTAGAACCAGCTTATAGCTGGCCCTCAGGCAGGTTTTCAAAGGCTATAATTTACACTGGTGGAGATTGCCTGTCTTTCTGTCATGGAGGGGTTGATGGATTCAAACCACCTGCCTTTGGATTGGCAATGCAGCTTCTTAGCCATTAGGCTCCCATAGCTCCCTTTTTTCCTTTTAGAACACCTCTGTACTTTAAGACTAAATTTTTCATTGTTGTTGGAAGGTGCTGTCATGATATCTACCTTATAAACAAAAGATCTAAACCTTGTCATCTTCACACTTCCTGACATACTAGTGCCCATTGTAGCAGTCACTATGTTCTCATTTTGATTGACTTCTAATCTGGGCTCTACCCCTAATACCAAACTACTTGTGTTCCGCTACTGTTCATAGTTTTTAGAGGCCTGCTATTTAAGAGATGGATGACAATTCTTCTTCCTCATCTGTCTTAATCTGGGAGTTCTGCTAAAACCTGTCCACCATGGGTAACCCTTGTGGATTTGACACACCAGAAACATAGCTTTCAGCATCACAGAAACCCATCAGTTACTTCAATACAACAAACTGGCAGACAAGTGCTGTACCAATTAGAAAACTGTATTTTCCAAATATAACAAACTGACAATTTAGTGTTGCACCTCTAATAGTGAATCAGATGTAGAGATTCTAACAAGGTTTGTGGTAGGTACTGAAGAATCTGAAAGTATTTGGTTTTGGCAGAGTCTTAGCCTATTGATTGCAATGAGCTTGATTTCTGATGGAAGGGAAGTGTGAAACCAGCCTTAGTCTCAAGGAAGAAGATAAAAATGGAATACAGTCCATGAGCAGAATATCTTCTGCTTCTGATTTGCTAACTTGTTCTTCAGTTTCAAGGCAAAATATGGACCTCCTTACTTAGAGGGCCAAACCACAAAGGCAAAATTTTAAATCTATGTGAACATATTTTCATATCCAAACCATATTTAGGGAGCTCTGGTGGCCTATTGGCAAGAAGCTGTGCTGCAATTCCAAAGGCACGTGGTTTGAAGCCACACACTGCTCCCCAGGAGAAGGATGGGCATTCTCCTCTCATGCAATTAATTGACTCTGAAAGTCCTCCAGAGAGTCAACTTTGGGTTGGTTATGACTCTGTGCTACACAACAATGGTATCTGATTTTAGTGTCCCATTAGTCTGCTTTTGGATGTTGGGGACCCCTCAAATAACTTTTCTGCAAGCCTTCCCCCTCATGATAATATAGCATGGTACAGGATATATTTATAGGATTGCATGGAATATATTATACCATGATGTGGGATATATTATAGCATAATTGTGGGATATAGCACAGTATGGTGAGATCTATTCTGGTGTGGTAGTGGGATACATTAGAGCATGATGCAATATTTTTAGTATCTTGGCATATATGATAGCATGGTAGTGGGCTATATAGTGGTGGCATTTAGAACAAGATGATGGTGGGATATATTAGAATATGGTGATATTACAGCATGTGTACTGGGATAGTAATAGAGTGGGGTGGTGGGATATATATTAGAGTATGGTTGGATATATTAGAGTACAGTGGGACATGTTAGAACACAGTGGGATATTTTAGAGCGTGATAGCATATATTATAGTGTGGTGACAGAGAATGATGGTATTAAAACTTGGTGAGATCTTTATAGTGTGGTGGTAGGATATATTACTGCATGGTGAGCTATATTATAGTGCAATAAGGGAATTCTGGTGGCCTAGTGGTGAGATGCTGCACTGCAATTCCAAAGGCACCTGGTTAGTTAGGATCCACTAGCAGCTCTGCTAATGGGCAGTCTCCTCCCCTACGGTTAACTGCCTGTGGAAACCCACTAGAGGGTTTGCAACTTGGTCCATTCCAACTTGATGACACACAATAACAACAGTGGGATACATTAGAGTGTAGTGGGATGTATTAGAGTGAGGTGACAAATATTAAAGCATAATGATGGGATACCTTAGGGCTTGGTGGGATACCTCATAATGTAATGGTGGGTATATAATTGCATGGTGAAATACAGTGTGATAATGGGATACATTAGAGCATAGTGGGATAGGTTAGAGTGTGGTGGTGTATATTATAGCATGATGCTGGGATATATTATTGCATGGTGAAATATAGTATGATATATTAGAGTATGGTAGAATATATTAGAGTGTGCTGGGGTGTGTTAGAACATAGTGGGATATGTCAGAGTGTGGTGGTATGTATTATAGCATGATGATGGGATATATTATTGCATGGTGAAATATAGTGTGCTAGAACATGGTAGAATATATTAGAGTTTGCTGGCGTGTATTAGAGCATAGTGGGGTATGTTAGAGTGTACTGGTGTATATTATAGCATAATGATGAAATATACTATTGCATTATTATATGTTAGACTGTGGTAGTGGGATTTTTTAGAGTGCACTGTGATATGTAAGAGAGTGATGATGGAATATGTTCTAGTGTGGTGGGCTGTATTACAGTGTGGTGGGGTGTATTATAGCATGCTGGTGGTGTTGATTAAAGCATGGTGGGTTATAGTACAGCATGGTGGTGGTATATACTGTAGTGTGGATGTGTGATATCTTACAGTGTAATCGGAATGTGTTGGGATAGATTTTAGTGTGTGATATAGCTTGGGAGGGTGGAGGGGACAGCACAGGAGAGGAAGACCCTCAATGAGATGGATTGATTCCGTGACTGGGGTAATGGGGGTAGGTGTGTCAGAGACAGTAAGATTGGCACAGGTTAGGGCAGTTTAGGGCTATTGTACATAGGGTCGTTATGAATTGCACATGACTCAATGGCACACAACAACAACAACAAAGCGGGATATACTAGCGCATGGTGGTGGGATATTTTTGAGTGTGTTGAATTATAGCATGGAGTAGGATAGATTATAGTGTGATGTGATGTGATGTATGGGAGTGTGGTAGTGGGATTTATTCGAGTGTGCTGAGAAGTGGGATATATTTTAGTGTGGTGGTATATATTATAGCACGGAGTGGGATAGATTATGTGTGTGATATGATACGATGTATGGTAGTGTAGTGGTGGATTCTAGTTTGGGGCACATTTGCTAAAGCCTCTTAGCAGGATGGGGTCCCCTACTGAACACATTGGGAAACTTGCAGCCTAAGTGACTCACGGGCCCTCGGTTACCATGGTGATATTCCATTGCAGGAGCTGATAGATTCCAGAGAGATTGGGGCCGGCCGCCTGTGCAGAGTGGAGGCGCTGGCGCCCGCCGTGAAGCAGGACACTAGTGCCAGGGGGTGTGAGCTGGTGGACGCCGAGATGCAGGCCCTGCGCGCAGACTGGAAGCAGTGGGAAGACAGCGTCCTGCAGTCCAGCAGCAGCCTGGAGAAGCTGGCCAGCCAGATGGCCCTTTCCGAGCAGGAGTTTGCCGGCCAAGTGGCTCAGCTCGGGGCCGCCCTGGACCAGTTCAGTGCCTTCCTGAAAAACTGGTCTCAGCAGCTAGCCCTTCTGGAAGGCAAGAACACGGACCAGGAGCTGGTGGCAGGCTGGCACAAAGGAAAAGTAAGTGGCCTTCCTGTTCCCCCGGTGAAACTGTGTCTGAAGAACAGTTTGGTCTCCTGGTTGCTAAAAAAAGAAAGGAAGAATTCCTGGCTAACGAAAACCATGCCCCGTTCAGACTTGGAAGCAGCCAGTATTTGTCTAATTATATTTGCCAAGTCTAATCTGTTTCCTCTCTTTGTGAATCAAACTTTTGAAAGATAAAAATAAAGACATCGGAAAGAAGAAGGAGTTATTAAACCTCTGGGAAATAGTTATTGTTAGTGGGGACATTTTCCTTTTCATGCTGTGCTGTGTTGTAAGAGGGCTGTAATCTTCAGCCATGCACACTAAGAAATGGCCTGTGGGCAGAGGCTGAAATAGCCGGGGAGTCACAGCTGAGCCCGAGCTGGTTAGAACTATTTCTAACTATTAAAGGATTCCCTTTATGCCTTTGAAAGCATCTCTGGGTAATCTTCTCAGACAAAGCTAATAGTTTTTGCCCTGTTTACCTTTTCTGTGTGTGAATTTGACAGCTGAACTTGAATTATCCCGTTAGCAGATTTCCTACGTCACACTCTGTACTGGCTCTCCCGGGTTTGTGTGTGTGTGCTTTCTTTTTCCCCTTCTTGTTTGGTTTCCTCCCCTCCCTTCAACTAATGGTAGTTCTTTCAGAAAGTAAGAAAGAGAAGCGTAACGGGACTGATGCCTGAAATCCTTTCTATCTCTGTCTCTTATAGTTGAATATCATGTCTGAAAGCTTTTTTGTAATAGTTACCATTTTATAATGTTCTGAACTGTGGGTATCCTTAAAAGGAAGGTTAGCAAAGTAAACTTACTTCTCTGTTTCTATTTATGATATTTTTCATTTCAAAATCCTCCCAGCTCGAGCCAGCAAGAAAGGCATGTAAAGTTTCCAGCATTGTCTAGTTATAAATTAAGTGTTGAAATACATACAGCACACCGAAAAAGAAACTACAACAGTCGTCTTCTGTTACTTGATTTATAGCGTTTCTGGCTTTTTCCTTCTGATGTCTCTTTCCTTAACGTGTAGACATATTTCAGTAATGAAACACAGCACTAAAAGAAAGAGTAAATCAGGATGGTGCGCAGAGTCAGGTCTGTTCTGTACCGTTAGCAAGGAAGTTTCTCATTGTTCTATGTCGTCAGTATTACTCACTGTGAGATTTAAAAGAAAAAGAAAAAAAAGATACACCGTTTTAGTCCTTTTTCCCTGACCCCTTCTACCAATGAGAAGAATACTTTTCTTTTTTTTTTTAGCCAAATTAACACAGTTTATTTCGAGTTCGAACCCGGGCTCCCGCGTGCAGACACAGCAGCATCCACCCGAGAGCCGAGAAGAATACTTTTCTAAACATCATCTTGTTTTATCTATGTCACATTAGGAGTGCTGGTGGCCTAGTGGGTAAGGAGATGCACTACCAAGCCAAAGGCAGGTGGTTTGACTCCACCAGCCGCTCTGTGTGAAAAATATGGGAAATCTCCTTCTAAGCAGTTTATTGTCTCTGAAAACAGTGTTGGGTCCAACTCAACAACACATAGCAACAAAAAATATCACATTACTCTTTTTGAACTATTTTTTTTTTTAGGTGAGAAGACTTGTTGATGTTTAGAAAATACACACGAAGATGCAATTATGAATGCAAACTTTTGCCCTTACCAACTCAAGTGGACTGTTTACAGCCCATGCCAGAGTTGCTTCCAGCGCTCATGGTTTGCTTCATGTTTTTAGAAATTATTTCTGCATTTAAGTGAACATTTGGAAATCATTTGAGCTTTCATTCTATCATTCATGTGCATTTTGTTTATAACATTAGTTACAATTGATTATTGTAATTCATTCATTATAGTGTCTAATCTGTCCCTTTTTGTCTGTTGCATTTCCCTCTGCTCAATTTATAGATGTATTAATTTCGATTCCCCTCTCTCTCCTTTTCCTTCCCTGGAAATCACAGAGCCTGTGCTTTTGAAGGAATACCACAAAGCACCAGTCAGCTTTTCTCTTGTTCCTAATGATGACATTTTTTCCACTAAAAACAGTGGTAATATTTTAGTTAACCAAGAATATATAGAAAATGTTTACAAAGTAATGGATTTGGTGAGGTCCTTCTAGTGTTGCCATTTTTAACCATCATCATAATGACAGACTTTCATATTTACTTTCTGTAATTAACTGATGATGCTCAAGAAATCCTTTAAAATACATTGAAAGAGCATCTGCAAACTATGTTGCGAAAATTATATTAAAAATATTCATTATATTAAATATTTCCTCTTGGTGTGCATTGGCTTATTAGTGTTGGAAATACAGACATTTTTTACCTCTGAGGAAAACAATATACAAGCTAAGATTTAACTGAAACAGAAATATGGCCTAATGTTTACATAATAGAAGATTCAACTGAAATGCTTTTGTTTACAAGGATGTGATAGATTTCTTTTATACTTGATCTTAGCTAAAAGGCTGAGAAGCGATTGATAGATTTCTTTTAATGTGAAGTTTTGATAGTAAATTTTATGTTACTTCAATAGTTTTATTTTTAGGTCCTCCTTCAAATAAAAGATTGAGTATGGTATGAAATATTGATTCCCGATTTAGTGTTTGCATTTTCACAGGGAACCATCTTAGTCATCATTTATTCCTTTTGTAAATAAAAATGTTTTCAGCTCTCCTAGGCCAGACACTGGGCTAAATCAAAGAATTAAACAACCGTGAGAACCTTGGCCTTGCTCAGTCTAGGTGGGAAAGCAAACAAGATCAGAACAGATGGGTGTGGTCTTTGTTGGTGAATATTGTAATCAAGGCGCAGACAGGTGGTTTTCCTATGAGAACACCCTAAGAAGTGGGAAAGGGCACTAAGCAACCTGCTGGAGTTGTTCCTTGAGCTGGATCTTGAAGTCTGATTACATATAGCCCAGATCCACACAGCGTTAGGATAGCGTGGAGGTGCAGAAGTGCTGAGGAATGTCACATCACAGCCATTGAAACTAGAGAATGGGAGTCAGGCTAGGAGATTGCACCTTTCCAGAAACAAGGGATGAAGATGCTTAGAGAGGGGGTGTGAGTCAAGATGCAGAGAGGCAGGAATTGGGGCCACGAGCCATCCAGGCCAGAGATGAGACGAGCCTGGTTAGCTCATGCTAGGGGGACGAGGGAACAGGAGAGACTCAGGTGACACTTAGCCTCTGATTTAAATCCCAGAGAGGACAGTGGTGCCATTTACTCAGATGAGAAATACAACACAGAGCTAGAATCAACCCAATGGCAAATAACAGCAGGAATGTGCCAAGTAGTTCAGCAGATTCTGGGACATCAGAATAAATAAAAAAATGAGTCTTGTTTTTGGAAACTTATCTTTCTAATTACTTGTTATGCATCAGAGAATTGGAGAATGGTTAGGGATGATGGAGAATTGATGCCTTTGAGCTGAGGTGCTAGAGAAGAGTATTGAGTATATCATGGACTGCTAGGAGAACTATCATGCTTATCCTGGAGAAGGTGAAACCAGAATGCTTGTTGGAGGCAAGGATTTTGAAGCTCCGTCTGACATATTTTGGACATGTTGCAAGGTGGGATCAATCCTTGGAAGGGGATGTCAAGCTTGGGAGGGTGGAGGGACAGTACAGGAAAGGAAGACCCTCAATGAGATAGACTGATTGAGTCACTGGGGTGGTGGGGGTAGATGTGTCAGAGACAATAAGGTTGGCACAGGATAGAGCAGGGTTCAGAGCTGTTGTACATAAGGTCGCTATGAGTCCCAAGTGACTCAATGGCGCATAACAATATTGCTGACAAGATGGGACACACTCATAGCTGACCTTCCAACAAGTTTCAAAGACAGTAAATCACATTGGAGGAGACTGCCCATCTGTCTCCTGCTGGTGGATTCAAAACCCAGAGAAGTGCAGTTTTGGGGGAGATCAGGATAACTCAGTAGGGACTAGGCCACCAGAGGTATATGTGAAGAGTTTGAAAATGAACAAACAAGAGAAATGTGAATTTTCACAGCACTGGGCAAATAAATTAAAAATAAAATTTTGGGGTTTGGCATGAACTCTGGACTCAAGGCCACGGTCAGCCAAGGTACATATGGGGAGGGAGCTTTGCAGACTGAGTTCCACCTCCTAGGTGTTTAAAGAGCAAATGTGAATTTGAATATCACATACATAGTACCATTCCCAGCACTCTGAAAGTGCCCAACTGAATAATTATTAGGCATGTGAATCATGAATATTCAAAGGGCACAGTGTAGAATTGTCAAAGTACAGTAATAATAATAGCACCATGGTGGACAGTTTTTGGTGGAGCTCCCTAGTTAAAACAAGCTTGGAAGCAAGAGTGGCATACACTTCCGAAATAGCTTGCCTCCAGAAACTCTGAACGTGAAGAAATGATGAGTGTTATACAAGCATTCAGGTCTTTTGTTTATAGAATCGCTATGAGTCATCTACGACTCAATGATACTTAATAACAACAACAATATCATCATCATCATCGAGAGAGAGAGCTCTGCTGGCCAAGTGGATAGAGAGTTATGCTACCAAGCCAAAGGTGGGTGATTTTAATCTGTGCCCCTCAGGCCTGGTTTTAACTGGTTTTGGTCAAACATTCTTCTAAGTGGCGTAGCACTGGTCTGTCCATTTGCTGTACAGAGGTGACTGGTGGTTGCTGTGATGCTAAACACTGTGACAGTGATGTGTCAAATGTGATAATGGTTACCCATGGTGGACAGTGTTTGGTGGAGCTCCCCAATTAAAACAAGCTTGGAAGCAGGAGTTGGCATCCACTTCCGAAATGGCTTGCCTCTAGAAACTCTATGAACTTGGAGAAATGATGGAAGTTATACAAGCGTTCAGGTCTTTCATTCATAGGGTCATTATGAGTTGTCTACGATTTGACGGCACTTAACAACAGCAACAACAGTAGTAATTAAGGAAGAGAGGCAAAAGATGAGTAACCACGCAAATAGATGCTATTGCTTCTTTTCTGTCTGAGAGTCATTGAGATGTAGCCCAGATCTGTAGAAAAGCCATGCTCCTCAACAAATGAGGTCTGTGTTGTATTTCTCATCTGAGTAAATGGCACCACTGTCCTCTCTGGGATTTAAATCAGAGGCTAAGTGTCACCTGAGTCTCTCCTGTTCCCTCGTCACCCTAGCATGAGCTAACCAGGCTCGTCTCATCTCTGGCCTGGATGGCTTGTGGCCCCAATTCCTGCCTCTCTGTGTCTTGACTCTCACACCCCATCTCTAAGCATCTTCAAAGCTGTACCCTATGGGGAGCAGCTCGCCAGGCCTCTCTTCTGAGGTACCCCATGGTGCTTTCTAGTTACAACTTTTCAACTAGTAGTCAAGCACTGAACAATTGAGGCCACCCAGGAACTCCTGCTTAGCATGTTACTGTTTTTGTGTACTGTCAAGTTGGAACCAACTCACAGCTGACCCTCCAGCAGGGCTTCAGAAGCTGTAACGCGATATTGGCCAACTTTCTTCTGAGGAGCTTCTGGTAGATTTGAACCACATGTGCCTTTGGGATGGTGGCACAACTCTTTACCACTAAGCCACCAGAGAGCTCCTTGCCTTAACACATAGGAGATGTTTAACATATTTGTGTGTCTGAAGGGAACAATGGTGTGAGTGCATTACTAATTGACTTAGACCCATAGATTCTAAGAAATTACTAATGAAAAGTTTACTCTTTGTTGTCTTGACTCATGGCCCCTCATGCCAAGCCTATATGCAACAGGTCAAAACCTTCCCCGATTTTTCCTCATCCTCATAATCCACCCTGAGTTTATGCAACCACTCTTCCGATCCATCTTTGGAGGAGTTTTTCTCTTCTGTTGATCCTCTTGTGTACTTTTGAGTTGGCTCTGATGCATAGCTTACCCTCTGTGGGTTTTCAGACGCAATTAATTTCATGGGAGGAGAGTGCCTAGCTTTTATCTTTCTCCTGATGAAAAGCTGGTGGATTTGAACCACCAGCCCTTGGGTTGGCAACACAGCTCCTGACCACTAAACCATCCTTTCAAAGGACTAGTATCTCCTGAAAGTAAAAAAAAACAAACACAAAACACTCATAGGATGTGAGATGAAATTTCTCGATCTTCATCTCCAAGGAGTCCTCTAGCTGCACATTCTAAGACACGTTTGTTGTGGAGAAAATGAAAATTTTAGGCTCTTTTCTCTTCTTGTCCCACTTAAGTTGTTTGACTACTGGACTTCATTTGATGCTGGGGTGTATATTCATTGTAGCAAGGAGATCAATCGGCCCGGTGGCATCACTCACCATGGGGAATCCTGAGAGTTGGCCACATTTCTTTACCAGCTCCGTTGTGCCAGTCCTCCTCTTACTGATGGATATTGTATAATGGGACTTATGCACCAAGAGTGGGATGATGTGTAAAATACACATTTTGATTGCTCACTCCTGTTTTGTTGTTGGTTGCAGGAGATCCTGGATGCTCTAGAAAAAGCTGAACCAAAGACGGAAGAGCTTAAGTCTCAGCTGAATGACCTTTGTCGCTTTTCCAAAGATCTGAGTACCTACAGTAGCAAAGTTTCTGGCTTGATCAAGGAATATAACTGGTGAGCATGACATTTACCTGTTCAAATATATATTATTAATAAACACTAACAAAAATAAAACCCAATGCCATTGAGCCATTCTTACTGATTTTTATTATAGAATGCAACAATGAAATAGAATTACAGAATAGAACAGCATAACTCTAGATGGCTTAATTTTTATGAACTTGAGTCACAAGGCCTTTCTTTTCTCTGCTGGGTGGCTCTTCTCCATCATCTACTAGATTAATAGTAAAATGGACACAGATTGAACCAGCTAGAGGTTTCCTTTTTTGAAGATGTTATTTTATTTATAATGTACATGTATTCATTGTTAAACATATGATTAAATAAGGCAAGTACATTTTATGAGAATAGGTAACTGTAACAATCATTATTGTAATCTACTCTTTCCTTTTCTCCTTATTTTAAATGTTTCACATTACGGACACAGTCTTTGTTTGCAAGCATCCAAGGACTGCCAGAACAAAGAAAAGATCCTACAGCAGAGATTTCAAAAAGCCTTCAGGGACTTCCAACAGTGGTTGGTGAATGCAAAAATTACTACTGCCAAATGTTTTGATATACCTCAAAATATTAGTGAAGTTTCATCAAGTCTTCAAAAAATACAGGTAAGACTGTAATCAATGAATTATCATAATTGTGCCAAACGAGCTTCTAAATTTTTTAAAGTTCACTCATTGCATCCTAAAGCTTTATTTGTTGGGTGCAATTGAGTTGATTTTTAATTCATAGTGACCCCATTTGACAGAGTAGAACCAACTGTAGTTTTTGTAAGAGTAGATGACCAGATAGAGGTTTCTTCCCAGGTAGGTTTGAACCAACAACTTCGTGGTTGGCAGCCAAGTGTTTAACTATTGAGCCATCAGGGATCCTTAATTTTTACTTGTGATATTGTTGTTGTGTGCTCTCCAGTTGATTCACTCTTGTGCTGCTGCTGTTGTTAAGTGTGTCAACTCAACCACAACTCATAGCAACTCTATGAACAGCAGATCTGAACCTTGTCCTCGCCTCTTTTATCCTCATCATCTCTGATACACTTAAGCCCATTGTTACAGTCACTGTTATTCCATCTTATTGAGGGTTGTAAAAGGAGCGGAAGCAACAAGAAGGTGGATGAATCTGCCTTCTACTGGCTTCATGAAGGAAAACTGTCCCCATCAATAGCATTCATAGCAGCACATAGATAGCTGCTTGGTCAGACATGCCACCTAACTTGCTCCTGCACTTCTTTCTACCAATAACTTGGGTCCCATATTTGTTATTGACTCATGGGCTTTATTTAAAGTTATGGCACCAAGGATGGGGTTTATTAGGGAAATTAGGTTGGAGAGTGGAGGAGGCAAAGAAAAACATTCAATGCAAGTCCAGGTTTGGCATAGCAGTTCCAAGCCAGATAAACAGCAAAACACAATTCCTCAATTAGTAAAAGTCCCGTCTTCATTTCAGCAGCACAAATTCATGAAGCCTCTGATTTCCTTAATCATCCAGCAAGGTTTGCCTCATGTCATTTAAAAGTTAGCTTTTCTTCCAATCATCTAATGAGTAAAACCTTTAACTGTGGCCTTTATCTCAGGGCTCACTTGGTTACTCCTTGCCTCAGTCTGTTCACAGCAGTGCCATAGTCTCTCTTCTCTCTGTCACCACCACCAAACAGGCTCTGGCTCTATAGTGTGGAAAGCACTCTTTCTATTATATTATTTCCACAGCTGTCGACTATTTGCAAGGTCATGTGTCTGCAGTTACAGTAGCTGTAGACCAGCAGGGCTAATGTAATGGCTAGAAAAGTCAACTTTTAAACTAACACCACAAAAGTCCTCCTCTCTTCCTCTGATCCTCCACTTTTCCAGGCATGATGAATTTTATAAATGACTGGTCCCTCATGACAATATCCTCCAAGTATGTGAAATGAAATTTTACCATCCTTGCCTCTAAGCAGTATCCTGGTTGCACTTCCTCTAAGACAGATTTCTTTGTTGTTTTGGCAGTCCATGGGATATTCGGTACTCTTCTACAATACTACAAAAAACATCTCTTCTTCTGTCATCCTTATTCATTGTCCAACTTTCAGATGCATAAGAAGTGATTGAAAAGATGATGGGTTGGTACAAATTGTTGTTGCTGTTTTGCACCCCTGAGTCTAACTCATAGTGACTCTGTGTCAGTCGAATGTTCCCATAGAGCTTCTCAGGCTGTAATCTTTACAGGAGCAGATCATTAACTCTTTTGTCCCAACTCATCATTCCCATCTACTGAGCTTTCAGTTAGCAACCACACTTCCCACTGGCTGACCTTTCATTTAGCAACTGGGCACTTTTGTATTGTGCCACAGGCGTCCACATTCAGCTACGAAATTTGAATTCCAAAGAAATCCTTGCTTCAAATAATTAATTATGAAAAAAAAAAAGAGAAACTAGTATATTCACATAAAGGCCATTGAAACCAACTCCTAGTTGACCTTCCAGTGGGTTTCCAAGGTTACTAATCATACAGAAGGAAAACATCCATATTTTCTTATAGAGTTCTGGTGAGCTCACACCACCAGAAGACCCCACTGCCTTTGAGTTGGCAGTGCAGGTCCATAGGGACCAGACAATGATAGTTCTCTAATAAGGTAACACATGCAGACCGGTCCCACTTCTGTTGAGTCAATCCCAACTCCTGGAAGTGCTCCCTCAGGTTACAGAGGCTGTGTGAGTCTTTATGGGAACATACTGCCTCATTGCTCTTGTATGGAATGACTGGTGGGTTCAAACCACCCACCTTCCACTTAGCAGCTCAGCATGCAGTACACTGTGCCACTGCACCAAACCAAAACCTACTACTATGGAGGGAAGGTTCTGGAGTGCTAACGGAAAGGTGATGGCTTGAATGCACCAGGTGCTCTGTGGGAGAAAGATGGGTAGTCTCCTCCCACAAAGATGTACAGGCCCAGAAAACTGATGGAAAATGTAAGACAACCCTGCATCACATTTCCAAGAATGTAAATCTTTACAATAGGAGACTGCCCACCTTTTTCCTGTAGAGCAGCTGGTAGATTCGAACCATCAACATTTTGGTTAACAATCAACACATTATATATTTTTCTCCCAGGGCTCTTTTTCTTCTTTGCCGCAATTAATAATCTTGAGCTTGTGCTTTTTATTCTTCTCAAACACTTGAAAAAATTATAATGACATTTGAGTGGAGAATATACAACCCATCTTTTTTTTTCCTTGGATCTAAGGAGATATTGTTGTTGTTGTTATGTGCCGTCGAGTCGCCTGCAACTCATAGCGACCCTATCTACAACAGCCCTAAACTCCGCTCTGTCCTATGCCAATCCCACTGTCTCTGACACTCCCATCCCAATTATCCCAGTCACTGAATCAATCCACCTCATAGAGGGCCTTCCCCTCCTGTGCTGTCCCTCCACCCTCCCAAGCATGATGTCCCTCTCTAAGGACCGGTCTCTCCTCACTACATGTCCAAAGTTTGTTAGACGGAGCCTCAGAATCCTTGCCTCCAAGGAGCCACCCGGTTTAACCCTTTCCAAGACAAATCTGTTTGCTTTCCTAGCAGTCCATGGTATTCTCAGTACTCTTCTCCAGCACCACATCTCAAAGGCATCAATTCTTCTTCTATCCTCCCTGGTCATTGTCCAACTCTCTGATGCATAACAAGTGATTGCGAAGACCATGGCCTGTATCAGACGCACCTTAGTCTCCAGAGAGACACCATTGCTCTTCAGCACTCTGGAGAGGTCCCTAACAGCAGACTTTCCCATGGCAATTCGCCTTTTAATTTCCTGGCTATTGGTGCCAACACTGTTGACTATGGAGCCAAGCAAACTAAAGCTGTGTACAATCTCAATCTCTTCACCATCCTTCCTGATGTTGCCAATTGGTCCAGTGGTGAGAATCTTTGTCTTCTTGACATTGAGCCTCAATCCATATTGTAGGCTGCAGTCCTTGACGCTCTGCAGCAGGTGCTTCAGGTCCTCTTCAGTTTCAGCAAGCAGGGTTGTGTCATCCGCATAACGCAGATTGTTGATAAATCGTCCACCAATCTTGACTCCACATTTCTCCTCATAGAGCCCAGCCTCCCGGATAATCTGCTCTGCATACAGGTTGAAAAGGTATGGAGATAGGATGCATCCCTGGCGTACGCCCTTCCCAATTTTGAACCATGCAGTGTTCACTTGCTCTGTTCTGACGACTGCCTCCTGGTCCAAGTATAACTTTCGCATTAGAATGATCAAGTGTTCTGGGATTCCCTTTCTTCTCTGAATCAACCATAGTTTGTTACGATCTACACAGTCAAATGCCTTTGCATAGTCAATGAAACACAGATAGACATTCCTCTGGTATTCCCTGCTTTCAGCCAAGATCCATCTAACATCAGCTACAATATCTCTAGTACCACGACCCCTTCTAAACCCAGCCTGGACTTCTGGTAGCTCTCTGTCATCTCTAAGGAGATGATGGGAAAATATACATATGTTGTCAATGCTTTACTCAATGATAGCTTATGTCATTGACATTTCCTTGAGAAAGATAATCTGTTGTTATTTTTTTTATGAACAACTAATAAACAACTAATAGCATCTATTTGGAAGCGAGAGTGGCATCCACTTCCTAAATAACAGGCCTCCAGAAACTCTATGTACTTTGATAAATGTCGATAGTAGTAGAGAGGCTTCAAGCCTTTTTCTTCATCGAGTAGCTATGAATCGTGCATGACTTGAAGGCAATCAACAACAACAATCGCATCTATTAGAAAGCTCTGATGGAGTAGCTATAGGGAGTTGCAGGGCTAACCCAAAGACAGTCTGTCTGGTGGTTTGACTCCATCAATGTCTCTGCATGAGAAAGAAGAGCAATCTTCTCTCTAAAGCCTTGAAAACCCAATGGAGGGTCTGCTCTGCGACTGTTCTGATTCAATGACAGTGAGTAATAGTATCTATTACATTTAATGGTATTTCCTTTTTAAGGACAGATTCCTTCTGAAACTGTACCTCTTCTCTCTTTCTAGAGCTAGTTGTACTTTCACTGCATAAGTGGTTTGGTTTTTATTCGGTCCTGTGAGTTCACATTTTTATTGCAACAGCGAAGATGTTCAGAGCCAAAGTCACAATCTATCTCTACTAGTTGTGCAGGACTATGGAGCATCTATGGGTTTTTTTTTCTCTGTTTCCTAGAACACATATTTTTTTAAAATTAATTTTAATGAAAGTTTACAGAGACCTAGGGTTTCCAATCATTCATTGTTGCACTTTTCTCCCTACTCCCCCCATCCCCCAATTCACTCTTCTCCTTGAAAAGGAAGAAAAACTCTTTCATTGTTAATTTAGCCATTGTGAACTTTGTTTGCAATTCTTATTTTCCCTTGGTCCTCACTTCCTCTCTTGATTATTTTCATTGTATTGTTAATGTTTTATGTGTTAGCTCACAGCCTTGTTTGAGACAAGTTAGAGTTTATAAAGATTAATAAAATGGAAATCTGACCATCAGAGAAATGCCTGAGTCATTCAATATAGAGAATAAAAATAAATTTTCTCTTGTTTTAATTGATAACAAAGTAAGAGGAGAATAAATGTCTTTTAGAACCTAAAGTATTATACTATGTCAACCATATTTTTCTTTATAGGAGTTTTTGTCAGAAAGTGAAAATGGCCAGCACAAATTAAACATGACGTTGTCTAAAGGAGAACTTTTGATTCCTCTGCTGACCGAAGACAAAGCCAAAGACATCCAGACCAAACTTGAAACGACAAAAGAAGATTGGAAAAATTTTTATTCAAATCTCCACCAAAAGGAATCTGCACTTGAGGTATCTACAAATAACCATATGTACATATTCTATGGTGCTGCTATTATTTGTGGTTCTAGTTAAACTGTATTTTCAATTTTTCTCAGCACTTTTGTCAATGATTCTGGTCATCCCACTGAATTTGAGTGAATTCTTGGAGGATTGTAGGAAGCAGGTCGAGGCTGGAGGCGTGAGCCCCACTGAGGAATCAAGTAGCCTCACCTGGCTCTGGTCACAAACAAACTCATGTCCATTGTACAGTTAAACTGACCACAAAGCCAGTCCATTGTGCACCTAAAAACTGACCTGATTTGGCATTTGAACTGCCTTAGTTTTAAAAACTGGTCTCTCAGAATGGAAAGACGTTCGTATAACGTTGTGAAATTCTCTGGAGCAGAGAGAAAATACCTAACAAAAATGCTGAGTACATTTTTTCAAAGTCAACTATGCAAAGGAACAATAATCACACACATTTTAATTTTGTCTAGAGGCGTTATTCAGTCTGGATTGTTATTGTTATGTAATAATTGCCTCAAGGCAATTTTTATTTCCCCTTCTGAGATCTTCCAACTATTTGTTTTGGGGTTTTTTTGTGTTTGTTTTTTTTTGACAGGGTAAGTTAAAAAGTTATAGTCCATGTTTGCAGGAGATACAGTCAGGACAGCTTCCAAAAATGTGTGCGAGCACCTCAGCCTTGAGGCTCTTGGCTTCAGGCCAAAGTTTAAAAGTTCTCAATCCTGCCAATATTGGTTTGTCCCTCTCCTTACTCCCACGTTGTCTAACAAAGTTGAGCAAAGGTTCTTAAGCTCAGCTCTAGTTCTGTCCATGAAGGAGGTGTGGGTGGGTGGGTGAGGGTAGCAATTCCAAGGTCAGATCCATGCCATATTGGCTCTCTGCCTGGGGTCCAGCTGGTGCAAGAAGGGTATTCACTAGGTGCCTGCTTCTCCTTTACCGGTAGTGAGAGACTCTGCTGCTGGAATCACTCAGTTTAAGGGCGAGTCTAGCCAATCCCCTTGTGGATAGACTAATATGCCCTATTTGTTTATTTCTGCTCAGACACACGCCAGAGTCAAGTTCTGTAACAAGGACAGCCATTTTTTTT